GAAAAATGAGGTTCGAGTGAAACAGCTTTCACACAAAAAATTCACTGTGACCAGAGAGAATCTTCCCAGGCGACACCACTGGGCACACTAACTCAGAGCGAGTTGCTTGATGCTCGCCTAGCGGGGAAAATGCGTACTAGGACAGCTCTGCTCCACCCAGCACAATTCCAGGTGTGTGTTGTGGGGGTTTTCTGGTACTCCCTCGTGCATTTATATGTTGTTGTTTGGTGCCAACGGTCGGTTCTGACCCATAGCAACCTTATGCACAGCAGATTGAGATACTGCCACGACCCGTAGCACCCTCAAAGTTGTTCCTGTGCCTGAGCCCATGTTGTATCCATGGGTCCGCCCATCTCCTTGAGGGCCTTCTGCATTTTCACTGTCCCTCCACTTTCCCATCATGATGTCCTTCTCGGGGACTGCTCTCTCCTAACAGTATGTCCAAAGTATGCAAAACAAAGTCTTGCCTTTCTTGCCTCTAAGGAGCTCTCTGGCTGTACTTCTAAGATAGATCAGTTTGTGTTTTTAGCAGTTCGTGGTACTTTCAGTATTCTTCTCCAGCACCTTACTTAATTCAAAGGCATTGATTCTTCTTTGGCATTTTTTTATTCAATGTCTAACTTTGGCATTCATATGAGGCAATAAAAAATACCATTCCTTGAGTCAGGCATTCTTTAACCCTCAGAATAACACCCTTGCTTCTCAACTCAGAAGAGGTCTTGTGTAGCACGTCTTTTGATCTCTTGACTGCTGCTTCCACGAGCATTGATTATGGACCCAAACAAGAAATAAACCTTAACTTCAACCTTTTCTCCATTTATCATGATGTTATCTATTGATCCAGTTGTGAGAATTTGGGGCTTCCTTACATTGAATTGTAATCCATACTGAAGGCTGCAATTCATGATCTTCATCAGCAAGCCCTACAAGACCTACTCACTTTCAGCAAGCAAGGTTGTGTCATCTGCAGATCACAGGTTGTTAATAAGCCTTCCACTAATCCTGACACTACATTTTTCTTCATGTAGTCCAGCTTCTCTGATTATTTGCTCAGCATATAGATTGAATAAGTAAGGCAATAGGCTACCACCCTGCCACACACCTTTCTTGATTTTAAACCATACAGTATTCCCTTGTTCTGTTCACTCAACTGCCTCTTGATCCACATGAGCACAATGAAATGTTCTGAAATTCCCACTCATCTCAGGGTTATCCATAGTTGGTTATGATCCATACAGTCCAGTGCCTTGCCATAGTCAGTAAAACACAAGTAAACATCTTTCTGCTATTCTCTGCCAAGATCCATCTGACATCAGCAACGCTATCCCTTGTTTCACACCCTCTTCTGAATCCAGCCTGAACCTCTGGCAGCTCCCTACAATGTTCTGCTGCAACCGTTGTTGATGATCTTCAGTGAACTTTTTCTTATATGTGATATCAAGGATACTGTTCTATAATTTGAGCATTCCGTTGAGTCACATTTCATTGAAGTGGGCGCAAATATGGATGGATCTCTTTCAGTTAATTGGCCAAGTAGCTGACTTTCAAATGTCCTGGCATAGACGAGTAAGTGCTTCCAGTGCTTCCACAGCTTGTTGAAGCGTGTGCGCACACACACCAACGCGTCTGTCAAAGAAGACAGGGAGGCACAAGGTTAAAAAAATTTTAATGTAGGACTATCACTCGGCATTTGGCATCTTGGGACAACAGTCTGGAAAGTTTAGTCTCTGAAGTGCTAAGTGAACACATATTTTAGGAAACACCGCCTCTAGATTGCTTTGAAAGACTGCATTTTGGAATTCTTTCTAAATTTTTTAAAAGATATGCATTTATAGTAAGGAATAAAATATAATATGGGGAGAGGTTAATACTGTTTGTTAATAAAAAAGAAAATTTCCAAGTTCCCCACCCTCTAAATCCTCCCCTTATTGGAACAATCTGCCTTCTGCGATTAGTGGTGATACTGGTGTCTGTCAGAGATAGGAGTTCCAGCAAAGAACTGGGACTAGGAGCATGCTAATTTGGGGTTTCTTGTGGTGCCTGAACAGGAACCCTGGTGGCATGTGTTGGGCTGCTACCTGCAAGGTCAGTAGTTCAAAACTGTCAGCCACTTTGTGAGAGTAAGTTGAGGCTTTCTGCTCCCAGAAAGAGTTACAGTATTGAAAACCCACAAGGCAGTTCTTCCTGGTCTTACAGGGTCCCTGTGAGTCAGAATTGACTCAGTGGCTTTGAGTTTGGGGTTGGGGAGTTAGTTTTTACAATCTGGGAGCCTTCCACAGCAATATTTAAGTAAGTGTGTAACCTTCACCCTGATAGAGGGTGTGTGTATGTGTAGACAAAAAATAATGATAACTTGACCCCTTTTCTTCCGATTGGACTACGCAGGCCCCAGCTTCCACAGTTTATCAAGCCCTATTAGTCCTTCCTTTCTCTTAAGGGAGAACACAAACTCTGATCCCGTTATTAAGCCACACTCAAACCACACTCCCTGCCAGCAGCAAGTCAGTGCCGAGTCATGGCCACCCGATAGGACGGGTAGAACTGCCCTGTGGGTTTCTGAGACTGTCACTCTTTATTGGAGTGGAGAGCCCGTCCTGTTTTAACACTGAACTCGTGTTCTTCATTCTCTTTACATTCATTATTTCATAGAAATTGCACCAGAAACAAAGAATTATAGGGCATTAATTTTGCGGTCATGAGAAGTCATGGTTTCTGGGACTATTATGCAGAGAACTCACAGTATAATGTTAAAAGAATCATGTATCAAACTAAATACGAGGTGTGATGATGTTCAAAGTGGATCGTTCAACGTTTATGAAGAGACCAGGGAGCCCTGGTGGGGCCAAGAGTTAGATGTCAGGTGAGCAGCTCAAACCCACCAGCTGTTCCGAGGAAGAAAGATGCAGCCCTTTGCTCCTGTCCAGGTTCCGTCCATCTCAGAAACCATAGCGAGCAGTTCCACCCTGGCCAAGGGGTCACCTGAATCGGAGTGACTCGGTGGTAGCGGGTCTGGTGGTGGTTCTTTTATAAAGGTACCTCGAAGAAAACCACCAGTGTTGTAAATGAGTACTCTTTCTTTCCTAATTGTCAGAAGTAGGACTCTGTGTTACTTTCATGATCGACACACACCCCCCCAAATCTCTGAAGAAGCGATGAAGGGAAGCAGTGGGGCCCATCTTTGGAGCAGGCCTGGGAGGAATCTGCTGCTGTGGGAAGTGATACCAGGCCTTGTTTCTGTTGTGACGTGAAGATTATGGAGTTCTGTATTCGTCAGGTGGGTCAGGGGTGTCCTGCTGATGGAAAACGCCAGCCCGATGGCATGCAGCAGGTGTACACCTCTGCCTCGTGAGCCCTGGGAGCATTCTGAGACTCCAGCACTCTGGCTGGGCTCGGCAGCCCAGCTGCTGTGCATCCAGAGATGCTGGCTTCCTCTTCAGGGTTCAGAGACAGGAGGTCTGGCTCAACTCCCCCCAAACACTCCAGGCTTTGACAAACTACCAGAGACCTGGCAGAGATGGTCGCAAGAGCTGTCAAATGACTTTCTGGGGCAGAAGTCATCAATTAGTAAGTGTGCTTGCAAAAGGAGTCCAAGTGTTGGTTCCTCATCCAGGGCACAGAGAAGAGAGAGTCCCTGCAGAGCAGGGCTGTTACTGAAGAAAAGCCTGGGGCCGCTGTAACAATGAAGCGCATCTCAGAGAGGCCTTGGCTGCGAGTCAGGTGTTTGGTGTGTTACATAAGAATGTGTCTGTCAGTGTTTATACAGATTCTCGGGAAACCGCCGTGAGATGAGTGAGGGAGCTGAAGCCAGGATGAGGCAACTTTCATAATGAGTTCACTCATCACATCCCTTGGCCAAGAAAAACATGCACACCTACTCCCGAGACAGATTTTTTTTCCTTGTTTCCGTTCCAGGAGGAACACATGAAATGTGGGTAGTCCAGGCTTCCAGATGAGCACTTTTCACTAACAATTTTTTTTGCAGCCGACTCATAAATAAACGGAAAGAGACGTTGTGAGGCAGCTAGAACCGTTCTGTGTCGGGAATGTCCTCTGTAAAAACAAGTCAGCCGCGTGCTTTCCCTTCAGTCTAAATACAGAAGGCTTGGCCTCCTGTTGCCATCTAAGCGGCACTCTCTCCCTGCCTCCCACAGTGGGGGCTGGGTGTGGCAGTGGGAATGTGTAGCAGTACAGGGCCGCTGCTCTTTCTCATCCTGAGGCTTGGATAGTGATTAGGAGCTTTGACTTGGGTGTCATAAAGAAGATGGGAGCTTTACCTTTCAGGTTGACCTTAACTTTGTATGTATTTTTTTTCAACCTCAGATCATCCAGCCCCTCTTAGAACTTGACCAAAATAGAAGCAAATTAAAGTTGTATATTGGACACCTGACAGCCCTCTGCCATGAGCGAGACCCCCTGATCCTTCGTGGCCTCACTCCACCAGCTTCCTACAACTTGGACGATGACCAGGCAGCTTGGGAGAACGAGCTGCAGAAGATGACTCCGGAGCAGGTAGGTCTCTTATTGAGCTTTCACCAGCGCCTACTCAAATCTACCTGCTGTTTGGGGTGAGGTTCTCTTGGGGAAGCCTATGTTCAGATTTAAGATTCTTAAACCCACTGTCATTGAATCAATTCTGGCTCATGTCGACCCCATGGGACAGAGTAGCTCTGCCCCCATCGGATTTCCAAGATGGTAAAGCTGTATAGAAACAGGCTGCCACATCTCTCCCACAGCGTAGCTGTTGGGTTTGAGCTCTCAACCTCTTGGTTAGCAGCCACACATTTTAGCCATTGTGCCACCAGGACTCCTCAGGATTCTTAGTCGTGGATCACTTTTCCGCAGACGGTAGGTATTACTGCTTGGTGGAGGTGCCGCTGTAGCCTCCCCACAGTGTGATTGCTCCTGTGTCAGAAAAGCCTACTGTCGAAGGGGGCAGGCTGAGGATCACAATGAGTCACCACAACTGAAGGCAAGTGTGAATTAAGGATGTTGACTTTAGGGATTGTTGACAAGTCCAGTATTATGTATCTTCAAGTGTCTCTGCTGTTGCCTGTAGAAATCTAAAGATGCTCTTTGTCAAGGAGAGAGAGGCTAGTTAGTCTGGGAATAAAAATCGTGAATATAAAGAAACAAAACCAGTTGAAGATAAGGCTAGGAAACAGACATGAAAGATAAAGGCAAAAAGAAAAAGAAAGGAATGAGTTTGATATGTGGATCAAGTGACACTAAAACTATTAAAAATTAAAGAAAGAAATGACAAATGGAATGAACACTGAGAAGCAGAAATAGGGACGAGTTTCTTGTTCCTGGCACATGGTTTTTGCTTCACATCATAAAAAAGGAGTGCAGGGTGCCGGTGGTTTTGTGTGCCCATCCCCTTCTCCCCCCATGCTCCTGCAGTGTGGAAAGCATGAATATATTTCTCTAGTTCTCTGTCCTACCTTCCAACCTTGGCAGGCTGCACACACCTGCACCACAGAGGGAGAGCTCCTTCAGGTGTCCTGCTCTGTCCCCAGTGTGTCTCACAAACACTCCCTGGAGGAGATCCATGGAAAGGGTTTGGATAGTGAGGGTGGGATCCCCTTGAATCTGTGATTCTAAGCTGTTCATCTAGCCCAGGTTCTGAATTTTATTTTTATTTTTTTTTAAGTTTTGTATTCTTTTTTT